CACTGAATACAGCATTTTTTTGCCTCCAGAAACCCCCGCCCTCTTCACCAAAATGGCCGTGCATAGCCTTTAGGAGGCGTTCAAAGTGCTCCTGGGGGCTGGGGAGGGCAGAAATGAGCAACGGGCCATTTTTTGCTCAAATTTGCCCTGCCAGCCCCCAGGAGCACTCTACAAGCCTCCTAAAGGCTATTCATGCCCTTTTTTGAAAAACAAACAAACAAACAAGGGCCCATTTTTGCAAAAAACGGGCCGTTTTTGGGAGGTCTGCAGAGTGCAAAAACTTTTTTTTTTAAATTTGCCTCTTCAAAATCTTTGTGCATCTTATACTCCAAAAAATATGGTACTTTGATGGTGTGCATATAGTTCCTATTTCCTTTTTTGACATCTTTCTGACCTTTATGAAGATACGGGGATAATGGGTGTGACTTTACTGACCTGAATAGCTTCTTTTTCTTCTCCGGCTTTGGAGAAGCAGAGTTAATTACAAGATGCCGTCACCTAATTTGCATAATTTATAGAGATCTCAGTAAACTCTTGCCGGTTTAGAATTTATTTCTGAAAATAGAATTACACAAACGAATGCATACCCATGTATTTCACCTAGCTTTGGATTTTTTCCCCCTTCTCTGGAAGAGAGTTTACATCTTTTCAAGCAAAATGTTGTTTTTGAAAGGGTATTTATTTATTTTATATCGTTTATTCACTCAGTTCCTATAATTGCTTTTCTCAGTTGATGACTCTGGATGGCTTAGAATTCAGTTGTAAGATATGATCACTTTCTGATCTGTATGACCATGTTAATCATAAATATAAGTGCAAAACTGCTTGTTAGGAAACTATTTGGGTTTGGGTAAGAGAAGTAACACAATCATTAATCATGTGTATATTTCTGCAGTAGAGCTTCTGTCACCAATATTTTTACATTGTTTTTGTGGTCCCATAATTAATGCTATGGACAATGGGGAGAAATAGACTAAACCAAACACACTGGAACTTGATCATTAAATCATATTTTATTGGGAGACCAATGCTTTGCATGTATAAGTTTCATAAGTTAGAGCTGTGTTCACCAACTTAAAACAGGTTGTACAGGAAATGTTTATCTTGAGCATCTAAACAACATTGCCTTTAGTAGGGTAAATTAAGGTTACATCTGGGTTCATTTTTTAAAACTAAGAAATCAGAATTATATATTTTGGAATTGGTACATTTTCACCAATTAAGAGCTACAATGTCAGGCATGTTTGTGGTGATGATGGGGAATTTGGATCAATAATTTCTAAAGCACTCTTTATTGTAAATGTAATTTTATAATCAGGATGTTCTTTATATCTTTTATACCTGATAAGGGATGCGGTGGCTCAGTGGCTAAGACACTGAGCTTGTTGATTGAAAGGTCGGCAGTTCGGTGGTTTGAATCCCTAGTGCCGCATAACGGGGTGAGCTCCCGTTACTTGTCCCAGCTTCTGCCAACCAAGCAGTTTGAAAGCATGTAAAAAATGCAAGTAGTAAAATAGGGGCTATCTTTGGTGGAAAGGTAACAGCGTTCTGTGCACCTTCGGCGTTTAGTCGTGCTGGCCACATGACCA